TTTAGGTTTTAGGGTACTATAAGGGTACCAAAAAAGAGGAAGTAGAGTTTCCACAGGTTCGACCGGTTGTACCTGGCAAGGAAGCTGTGGGGCTTCGGGTGAAGAAGCCCCCGCCCCTTGTTTGTCAGTTCGAGCGCCAAGTCCTCTAATAAGCGTAGATGAGGAAGACGAACTCCGCAGAGACAGAGGCATTAATGGTCTGCTTCGTCTCTCTACGTTGAAAGCTTGAAGGGGCAGGATTCGCGGGGTTGGAGATAGGGTTTGCACATCCGCTATTCGGGATTTGAGACTGGGGGATTGGAATCTAACATAGGGATGCGCAGGCCTCCTTTTTCTGAATAGATCCTAGACCCAAAAAGACCCTCAACCCGAACTCGGAAGCATGTTATCCAGTTTTTAATTATTAAGGCCCCTACATTAGGCCGTTCAGGGGTTAGCAGTTCATGGTTTAGCGTTTAGGGTGGAAGTGGAGGGGGGGACTCTTCGCCCCCCTGAATCTGTCACGGTTCCACAAGAGAAGAACAGGATTTTTGTGAATTGGTTCCAGTCTCGCGTGCTTACAACAAGGATTTTACTGTCTAACCTAAGCCCTAAACCCTGAACCTGTTATTGATGTTGAAGTCGATACTAGGGCTTCCTCATTTCCTCAAAAACCTTCCAGGACGAATACTACAAAGTCTGTTGTGCAGAGGTCGGCACCTTCAGCTGCCGTTTGGGTGTTTTCCTCCCCGACGTTCTGAGCAATAAACCCTAGGCTCCTCATCCAAGACCCAGAATCCAAAATCCGCCCAACCTGAGCCCTAAATTTGATGCCAGGCAGCTGAGTGCGATTTCTTGGATGAGTGGAGAAAGCTCTCACGGCTCAGGCTGCTGCAGATTTGTGGCGGTTTCGTGCTGATGCTGAGCAGCCGCAGCTTACATGCTAAGCAGTATAGGGGCCGGCATAGGCATAGAAGTAATTGGTGGCCTTTTACAGTCCCTGGCGTTTGTGTACGAGGCCCGAAATCCTACTCAAATTACGACGGCCCTCATATCAAATCAAGTACCCGTCAGCTCTAGTCAACAAACAGAGTTTAGGGTTTAGGGCTTAGGGTTTAGGGCTCAGGGTTTAGGTTTTAGGGTTTAGGGTTTAGCAAACAAGGCACATCGGCTTTGCTGCTGACGTCACATCCCAGCCACGGGAAGTATACGCAAGACCTTGCGCAGGATGTCGTTACTTGGCCTGCCACGATGCTTGTGCCGGTTGCCACTCCTACCATCATCATCGTCTTCTTCTTGAGCAGTATCACCACCATCGTGTTTTGCTGGAGTGTGGCATTTGTTTATGTGGATGCTCGCTTGTTAGGCAATGAGTGGTTGTTCTTGATTGTATACCACTGTTAGTGCCGGTGATGATGATGACGATGATGATGATGGGGGCAGTGGTGGTGGTGGTGGTGGTGGTGGTGGCTGTGCTGATTATTATGTGCATAGCTTTTCTTTTGTGTCTCGAGCCACAGACTTCCCTTTGATCCCAATGGTTGACCTGTTTGCGAGCAAAACCCTAACCCCCAACCCTTAGGGTTAGGGTTTAGGGTTTAGGGTTTAGGGTTCTAAACCTAAAAGTTGAACCTGAGGTTACGATCACCGCCTTTGCGGCCATGGCCGTGTGCTTCTGCGCCGCTTGCTACTGCACGCTCCACATCACGGCTGGCCTGGAGCTAGCAGTCGACAGCTTTGCAGTGCGTTGCTTCAAGACGGCTGATATGGAGGCAGTATATCGGAGGGTTTAGAATTTAGGGTTTTGCCTCAAGACGGCTGATATGGAGGCAGCACTATATCGCAGGTTTTTCTGTAGGGTCTAGGGTGTTGTTTGGCAATATCTGTGAAGAAGAATAGTATCGAGTGATATTCATTATGACAGTACAACTGCCTCCACAAAGGGGCTCTGTACTGTCATTACTATGACATTCTGGTGCAGAAGCTTGTTGACTTAACTTTTAAAGAGTAGGGTTGGGAGAGGTGCAGATGCGAGTTCAGTAGCTTCTGTGCAGGATGTTTCTCGTGGCCAGAACTAATGGCCAAAGCAAAAGCGAAACAAAACGATGAAGGATTCCGCTCCCAGCGCGTGTGCAGGGTTTAGGGTTTGAGGTTTCCGTATCGGTTTGATCCGTCCAGCTCGTCCGCTGCCCGGGTCAGCATCTTCGGCTGATCCTACCAATACAGGGGATAGTTCGCGAGAAAGGTGCGTCTCACTCTGAAAACCGTTTCCTTGCCCACAGAACAAGAGTAGGAATTTTAAGACTACCCTAAACCCTAAACCCTAAACCGTAAACCGCTGTGGACATGGAGGCCGCGGTGCTGGAATGGAACGTGGTGCAGGCAACCTTGCGGCAGACTTCCTGCAAGCTCAGCGAGTTTCTGGCGGTGCTGGCGTCCTCGTGCATCATCTCCATGATCCTGTTTGCCTACCAGGTCGTGTCCTTAATCCCTTAATTAAGGAATATACTTTAAATCATAAAATTAGGGTCCCTATAATTTAAGGCATATTCCTTAGTTAAGGAGTATTGGGTTCTCTGGGCTACCAGGTCGTGTCCTTAAGCCTCTCCGGCCATGGAACTGCCCTCTTGGACCTGGGGCTGTGGCTGGGATGGCTCTACCCTCCCGTGCTGCTCTTCCTCTACAGCCTCACCAGTGCCGCAGCCGTCACAGAGAAGGTGGACCGACTCGCACCACTAGTGAACTCATGGGCATTCAAGAGTGATGAAGTCTTGGATGAATCTCGCCAGTATCTTGTCCAGTACATACTGCAGAGCCGCGCAGGCTTCTACACCAGAGGAATCCGAGTCTCCGCATCCAACGTACAGAAGATTTGCTACTACTTTGCAGCCGGGTCCTTTGGTCTGCTTGCGAACTTCTGGCAGTAGTCCCCTCCCCCGTGACATTGAAATCCCCTTCCTTTCCAAGCAGAGGCTGACATATATATAGAGTTTTCAAGGAGGAGGGGGAGAAATTAGCTGCATGCCGCCTCATGGTGTGGCTTAGTGCTATCCTGGTGTGCCCTTAAAGCGCCGCCCTCCTCGGGGCCGAGTGCTTTCACACCTCCCTGGCGTCCAAGAGGCTTCTGAAAGAAGCCTGGGGGTCGGTTCTCGAAGCTTCTCCCCCAAGCTTCGACCGAGAGCTTGGCCCTGGTAGTTTAGGGTGTAGGGTTCATAGGGTTTAGGGTTTAGGGTTCATGGGGTTTAGGGTTTAGGGGTTTAGGGGTTTAGGGGTTTAGTAGTCTAGTCTATACGGCGTGTCTAGCTGTAACTAATGAGGGGTTTAGTGGCATCAAGCCCCAGATTGCCTTCCGGGGAGCTTCTAGCAACACCGTGGCTTATATGCCACCTCACCGTGTGGCCTTCTGAAATGCTGTGAGGATATCGCCTTCCCGGGTCGAATGCCTTCACGGCGCACTCTGTCGGCTTTTGAAATGAGCCGACGCTGCAAAAACTGCTTGTGCCATGCCTACCAGTACAAACTGGCTTCTCCGTAAACAAGAACAGTGACTCTGCCACCTGCAGCCTAGAGCCCCTAAGCCCTAAAACCCCACGCCCCAAAACGAAGATGCCCGAGCACACCCAAGCCTCAAACCCTAAAACCCTAAAACCCTAAACCCTAAAACCCTAAACCCTAAACCCTAAACCCTAAACCCCATAGAGTCTACAGAGGCTAAGAGTGCTGGTTAGATCGACGTGGCTTTGGCACCGACTCCAACGGAAATTCGGAGCGACCCAGTCTTGGAGTCTAGGCTCTTAGCTTTAACTTACGTACACATTGGAGTTCGGGTTTCAGGCTTGGGGTTTAGGGGTTTAAGGCTTGGGGTTTAGGGTTTAGGTTTTGGGGTTTAGGACTCCATCATGTGTTTATGCCAGCCGGTTCGGTCAACGACATCGCTAGGTAGAAGTCAGGCAGTTGGGACGTCAGTATCCTCGTGCCCCTAAGGTAAAGTCTAGGGAATTCCAGCGCTATTCATCCTCAATCCATGTTTCAACTTTCTGGGATTCACTGTAGGCGCATCGGTACAGCTCTCCAGAAGGACGCTTGCAGTTGAGCTGTACCGGATGCGCGGCTTATCGTCACAACGATAACGCGATGCCAAAGGCCATTGCTTCCCAGCATACGGTGCCTAAAGACAACGCTAGTCGTAAGGGTACCCATCATTTCCATCACCAGAACCTGCAGGATCCCTCCGTTTTTCCCCGTGTAACTGCTGCCATATTGGCATGTTTGTTGAATTGGATCTTCCTTGCACGCTCATGTGGGAGTTCAAAGCATGGATGCCTCTTGCAAGGAATCACTAAACCCCCCCAAACCCTAAGCCCTAAACCCTAAACCCTAAACCACATTGAGGGGTTCGGGTTGAGTCACTTAGGGCTCTCGGATCTGGGTTAGGCGTAAAGTGTTCAAGGTTTACAAGAGCTCCGTCTTCGGATCTCCCCATGTACAGCTGGTGGAATTTGGCCAATCGAAAAATGTATCTAATCGGGCAAGTTAAGTTCGGAAGCTTCAGGGGGCCTTGGACAACAACTTTCTGTCTAATTTTTTGGGTCGCGGTCGGAGTGAATAGTAATAAGTATCCCCCTTCTAGTCCGTTTATAAGTATACTCCAAAGCCTTACTCTAATTAATTATCAAGGCCTCTATATTGATATTGATTCCTTAGCCATACCCTTCAACCTGGAGGCAGCAAGTCTCATAGCACGCCGAAGCCGTTATCGACAACAAAACATGTGGGCGGCTCTCAGTTTCAGAGCTTTCTGCCAAAGGTCTCGTGGTTTCCTGGAAGCTTCCGGAGCGTAGAACGGCGGCTTAGGGCCTAGGAGTTCCCCTGATTCAAGCACCAGGTCCAAGCAAAGTCTCGCAAGCCAATGGCTGCGATAGCCTTTGCATGGATCGAAGACCTCCGTCTGTGCAGAGAAGGTGCTTGCATGAGTCCGTACCATGTGCTGGCAGTGCATCTGGTGCTGCGAAGTGCTAAGGCTTTTGTGCGGTCTTTTCTTGCAGGACGAGAGCTCAACATGACACGCTGCGCCCTGATTCTGGCTCTTCAGCTTTGCTTGTATCTGCCGGTGATGGTAACTTACGTAACTTACTCCCATGTCTCAAATCCTCATCTTCAAGATTCTGCTACAGCTCAAGAACGTTTAGGGTATTCGTAGCGACTCTATGTAATTACTGTTGATGGATGTTTCGATGGTCTCCACGGCCTTGTATGGCTTGTAAACCGAACCTTGCTGGCAGTTTTTGCCTGCACCCGTTTGCCTGAAGATGTTGGCCGCTTTGCAGCCGCCTCCGAGCGAGACGCTCTTCGTGCTGCTCGGCCGAGTCGTGTTTGGGGGGCTTTGGGGTTAGGTTGAGTCACAACTGCCTGAAACCTACATTCCACTTCGTGGTTCTGCACGCTGCATGCAAGGACCCTGAACCATCAACCCTAAGCCCTAAGCGTCGAGCAGAACGCCCGGTCACGAAATGTTGCTGGTCCTAAACCCCAAAATTGCGAGTCCCAGACCCTAAACCACAAACTATCAAAAGCCCCTATGTAGGCCCTTCAGGGTTCAAGCGTTTAGGGTTTAAGGTTTTGGGGTTTAGGGCGGGTTCCGGCAAGTTCAGGGTTTAAGGTTCAGAAAAAGGGTGGGTTCAGGGTTCAAGGGTTTAGAGTTTGGGGTTCAGGGTTAAAAAAGTTATTTTTGCAGGATTCAGGATTCAGGATCAAGTCAAGGGGTGTAGGGATCAAGGCCCGGAAAAGGGTTTAGGACTTACTTGCCCTAAGCCCCTAAACCCTAA